TAGAATTCCACTCATTATTCTCAAAAAGTGTGCACTAGAATTTAAACCGATTCTCTGCAAGAAATTTACTATCTCCTTCAAGTCGGGTATCTTTCTATCTTGCTGTAAAATAGGTAGACTCCAATCAATCCCCGAAATATGAAACGAAAGCCTATCCACCAACTTTAGGCCAAATACTGAATAATAAACAATTCCAATTGCCAAAAAGTAATGAACATGGAGCTCATCAGGAATCATTAATGATAGACAATATGGCTTCGCCACCTAATAAGATCAATCTGGAGATTTACTCGCCTACGTCACTTATATATGGCCAGCTTCCTTAGAAAAACATAGGAAATCTCTAGCTGTGGCATTAGATATATAGTGTTTGGCACCAAGGACTGCTCCACAAACTATAGTTTATGCAAAGTCAGTTGGAAAAACACATCACCACAAGCCGTCGGTCCCTTTGAATGTTCAAAGAGTGCGGCAGCGCGGCCCGAAATTCGTTTGATGATCTGTTCAACTGACTTTGCATAAACTTTACTATCATACGGCTTACCACATCAGCTATGCAATCTTTCATCGAATTCTCTTTTTCAGGTAGATCACTCCATGGATGTGGTGGTGGACAAAGTATCGTCTGATACCATTGCTATCAATTCCGGCGTACCACGAAATCAATTTTGGCACCAATAATGTTCCCACTTCATATCAACGATCGATTGGAAGCAACCACTTGTCTATCCACAGCTTTATAGACGATAGCACTCTCCACACTGCGTTCTCATCTAGAATTCCTAATACTTTCCAGGAAACTAAGAATTATCGACGAAGGCAAGCCAACCCTGTCAATGAAGATTTTGCGGAAATTACATCCGGCGGAACCAACAATAACCTAGTTGATTTCAACACCACCAAAACTCAAGCCTGTATTTTCTCTAGAAAGAACACCGTAGAAAAGTCGGCGACCTTTTATTTTCCTATTGATACTTCCACGGGAAATGTTCCTCATTAATCTCTGATAAAATTCCATCACTAGCAATACCAGTCAGACCTACTCGACAGGCCCAGCCATCACATCCTTTCGTCGTTAACCTTGGAATATGTCGAATAATACAAGAGTGATCAGAATGTTGAATCTTGAACCACCCTGCATTTGTTCCAATTAAATGTCAGTAGATGGTAAATCAAAAGTTGGGATATGGACATGAAAGCCGTTTTGACCAATAATGAATAGTTTCGACGCAAAAAAAATCCTCAAGTTGAAAAATCTTGATTTTGAACACCCTATATCTCTGTAATCATTCTCGCTAGACCCCAAGTGTGATGCATTGATGGAATCAGCTCACAAAGGATAATGCGAAAATGCAATGAAATACAGGGTATCCCATAAGAAAAAGTATAACTTTGATACGCCACGCATTTCTGGGTCACCCTGTATAAAGCGAAATAATTTGAAAATGTGCTGCTCATGATCCTAGATCATCTCTGGAACTTTTGTCTATCTATATCAAACTGTAAAGCCGTTATCTCCCTTTGCCACACTAATGACTCACCCTTTTTAAAGGATTTTTGGGCTACAGCTTAGAGTTCCATGGATACAAAAGGATTGAACAACTAAAAAAATCATGATTTCTCATGTTGTGCTTCATAATTTCTCAAATATAGTGAGCACGTTAAGATTGGAACGAATTCGTTAAGAGCTCGGGAAAACAGCTCCGAACATGTCGATTTTCTCCTTCAGGTGTGCATATTTTGGGTCTACTCATATTTGTCACAATTTCCATTATGCATATTTGTTTTATTTGGAAGAGGAAGCAAATTCCCAACTTCAGAAGATTTTATTTACGAATTATTATTGTACTGTCTTGAATATAAGTAATTCGATGTTCTTCGTGGCATATAACCAGGAAAGTAGTTGTTTTCTGTAGAATATATACCGATAAAGATTTAATATTTCTCTCAAATAGATGATGCGAATTCTCGATGTATTCTCTTATATTTTTGAATCATTTTCCATGCATATTCTCAATACTTTCATACCCCAACAACACAGAGCTATCCTGAGGTCGTCCCCTTCATGTCCCAATTTGTACCTCTGTGATAAGGACGTGATTGGATTGTCTCGCGGAAGAATTCTCCTGGATGTGTCAACTATTAGGTACCTACATCCAGTACATCCTTACGTTTTAACATAAATGTCCCACTTATGTCCCAACTAGTACATCTGCGAGTTATCGCATAAATGTATTATCAACTGGTAAGTATTCTTATCAAGGATCTATATACACAAATATGTGATAATCTGTGCATGGATCGTAACAGAAAGCAGGTGTTGTCTAGGATGGAGAAGAAACAAATGTTTGTACATGAAATCACTGAAATCATTATATTGTACATGTATTACATTCTTTGGAATTCAAATCATGTTTTATTTTTGTATATCCATTATATTTGTATTCCTATGTGTATACCTATACCAGAGTTTTATTTGTGGAAATTACGAACAGTCATCTTCAAGTTTAGGGATAATATGTGTGAACATCCTCATTCCCCTAGTCGTCCCTAGTATTTCCATTAGCCCTCCCTAGTATATCCCTCGGTCGTATCTCGCAAGTCCCTTTGATCCTCCCTAGTATATCCCTCAGAGGTCCCGTGTCCAGGCAAGTGAGTACTGGGAGTTTACCCATGGGGGTCTTTCGGATATACCCAGCTATACCCGGTACATACCAAGAAATTACTGCAGGGACGTCCCATGGTTGCCATTTTTGCGGCCAGCGGATGTCCGAGGCTGTCCCGACAGAGGTTATCCAAGGAGTGTCTTTCCAGTATATGATGGACGTCCCTGGGAAGTCCAGAGGATGTATTTGTGTCCATAGGGTACCCAATCGAGGGGTTTGAACTTGAATGATGAACATTTTTTATTTTTACTGATCTCTAATCACAGATTCATGATTGCTGGGTTTTCAAAATTCATAATTTCTTTACACGTACTGTTTGATAAACATCAATTCATCATACAACTGAACAAGAGTGGAATAGTGAGTAGGAAATAGTATATTTTACACACATAGGTGACAAGAGATTCATTCCTGTCGTGAGATTAGTTAGTTAACCAAGACGCAAAGCGTCGAGGTTAGCTATGATCTCGAGATAGGAAACTTCCTACCTACGTTTGTATACTATTTTTTTTAAAACCATCATATTCCGATCAAAATTAATGACTTTCTGTTTCGTTCTGAACATATACCTAAAAGGCAGGAAGAGAGGGCGGGAAGTAGAGGTCTGTAATATGACACTTTCCAACATTAAATGACGTTCGTATAATGACAACATCACATATATGGTTGTGAATAATAGTATATTCTTCAACGAGCGTATAATGATAGCTATTATTCCCGAGGATATGATTCCGAAACGAGCCGTAGGCGAGTTTCGGAATTATCCGAGAGAATAATAGCTATTATACGCGAGTAGAAGACTATACTTTCTCTACGACTATACGATAGTTAGAAATTTAATGTAATCTAATTAATATTTATGAAAATAATATACTTGATGTATGAATTTTAATGATATGATAATACAATTGACAGGAATCTTTAATATTCAACGAACTCAATGATGAAACAACACAATAATTATTAGGTCAGTAAATTATGTTTCTCGTACTTAGTGACTAAATTTTTAGTGATATTCTCACAATTCGTGAAATTTCACTGTTGGTGTTGCATTTAAATCAACACTGACATTTTTATTCATATTGCTAGTTGATGTTTTTTGTGTGAAGGAACTGTTATTTGATGATGATGATGAAAATTGTTCGATTCATTGAAGAATTCGAATCTGCCGTTTTTTTTAATTCAACATGGAATCTTCTAGAAATCCTTCTGCCACCGATGTGCTCTTGCAGCTACCATGTCTTTTCAATGCTGTTATACCTCCACCTGCATTGACAAGCAAAGCAATGCCCGGTGTACATCTCGGGATTTGGTAGCTTCAAAAATGTAACTATTTGTTTTCCCATTGCTGCAAACTTATTAATTCCAATTTTCTAAAGAGTACATTTTCCTTTTTGGTACCTAATTCATGAAAAAAATTGAAATCCCAACATTTGCTGCACGTATATCAATGTACTTTTTACAAAATTGATAAAATTTCCCGGTTACAGTGAACCTCCTTACAATTTTTGTTTTGGTCTCAGGAATAGTTATCATCCATGGAGATCCAAGATCTTGAATATCTTCAATATTCATAGAGTACATTTCTATGGAACGGTAAGCCTCCATTATATCCTCCAGATATCAAAGTTAAAACTTAAAAGACTCTATAAGTCAATCTGACATTCGCGAAAGTCAAGCCGTGACGTGACCCGTAAAATGAAGCAGAGCCTTCTCGAGAAATTTGTTTTGTAGATTTGCTGTTTTTTCATTAGTCTAACCTTTTCAGTTGCTGTGGATCCTGAAAATTCTGAATCTGTGAATGGTCGAATGTCGTTGAATAATGAGTTGGAATCCACGGTGTCTTGGAATCATCTTCATTCATCACTTACTAACCTATATGTAATCAATGTAGAAAACGATAGTCGTATAGAAATGAAATATAACATATAATGAAGAACTGTGAGAATTGTGAGATGCACTGTTGCAACTCAGACGATTCTTCTCGCGGTGTGATTTTATAAAAACATATCTCATGTCCCATCAACGTATACCTGACGTTGATAGTTGAGAGGGTATGAAGTGGAATCCCCAGAATGTGTTTCGCATACATTATACAAGATATGCATGGCATTGGCATGGCAAACGCAATGGTGTCCCCCACTTGCAAATATTTTCGCATAATCTACTTAAATCGCTTCACTTACGCCTAATTCTTAACACCTCATCATTCTATTTAATCTAATTTCTAAGTAGCCACTAGACTCCCCCCTAACCATTCGAGCAAGGACAGATATCATTGTAGAAAATGGAGTGTCAGGTTCTTTAGTTCATACTCCACCGACATAAAATCATAATCGCATTGTATTTTTTCGATGACATCGATTACAGTGTTTACTGATCGATTTCTCTGCCGTTGCAAAAGTGAGACACTGAGATTTATCGGTATATATCATCTCAGCGCAAGTGATTCAATTTTTTGTTTTTCTCGAATTCGGTACATTGGAATACTGTGAAAAGTATGAGGATTATTTCTGGTCTATTATTCAAGCACCACTCCTTCACCATTGTGTTCATCGTCATTTTGGTTCTGATTCTTCAGCTGCATGATTTGCCAATGACTGAATAGTTTTTGTTGTTTGTAGAAAAATTGTGTTCAAGTGCCTGGTTCAGACAGTGACGGATTGCATTTACATAAATGTACTATCAAAATCGCGGAAGTTTTCGACGGTAGACTATACGTGCACTGATTTTGTAAGAATTTAAATTCAGTAAGTATGTTAGGTACTATTTACCATGCAAAATATTATTTAAAATAGGCACATTTCATTGACCCTTATGTCCATTATAAAAAATGTATAATATAATCGAAAATAACATATTTTTTTATTGAGAGAATATAATTATTATGCAACCCTTTGTGTATGGACGAAAAAGAAACACACCATTGCAAAATGTTTGCCTATTAAAGTTTTATCATCTTATATGCCGATATTATTTGAAATAGATAAATCCAATTATGTTAATGATATTATAATCATAATAATATAATAATCATCTACTCATTTTTTTGAACTATTGATATACTGGGAGTTTCCAGGGCGATCAATGAAATGAATGATAGGAGACGAGAAGACAAAACGAAATAAAAGAATACATTTTTGTCGAAAAAAAGATATTCGGAAGATATTGAGCTTCTAAGTTTGCCTGAAACTAATAGCAAGCATTTACTTTCGACGAAATCACAATCACTGGAAGTATGAATGACTTTTGCTCTCGCTTTTGCTGCATGATCAATAATAGTTGAATGATGTAGTATGGTGGAAGCGCAAATTTTTAGAAAAAAATTTGAAACTTTTTTTTTGTGATCATCGTATCGTTTTATGTCTCATAGAACACCTCATTTTATTCATCGCCCCAATTCGGAAATACCCTGTGCGGTATACAGGTTGTACAAAAGTTGTGATCTTTGGAGTCATCTGAATCAGGGAAATATGTATGAGACCCTTAAACAATGCCTTAAACAATTGCCTACTTTCGTAGGACATTCTACCCAGTTCTGTTGATGCAACATGTGCGACTAAATAACATCAAAATAAAATTATTCGAAACATTATAATTGGAGATAGAGTCCTGTGAACGTTTGAACTGATTATTTTAATCATGAAACTAACGACATAATTATATTATTATCTAGACTGCTAATACCATAAAATAAAAATTCATTATCTCACGAGGTCGATTTCCACCTTATTGAGTTCCTGTTGTATAAATACGGTACCATTATCGCACTCACACCCAGGAAGTACATTTTTAAAAAGGGTCACTAAATTTTTGAAAAAAAATCTATACTCTATTTTGGCCTCGATTTCAGCTATACCTACATACATACCTGTTATACATGGTGATTAGTAAAGTAGACGCAATTTCTGAAATACAAAGAGTAACAACAAAATATGAAGATTTAGTCCAATATGCACCTTATAAAAATCATCATTTCATGGACAAAGAAGATATGAGTATAGCGAAGTAACAGAAAGTCACCAGCGCCCTCTATGAGCAATCACACAATTATAGCTGAAAATTGAAATGTTTCATGTCCGAAAACCTAAAACTACTAACCTTACTTCAAATTTGAGTAGATTTGTGGCGTTTTATAGGTCTTTAATCGTACAAACTCGATTGTTTGATCTGTTCTCTTATTCTGACAATGAGCAATCACACAATTATAGCTGGAAATTAAAATTTCTCATGTCAGAAAACCTGAAACTACTAACCTAACTCTAAATTTGAGTAGATTTGTGGCATTTTATAGGTCTTTAATCCTACAAACTCGATTGTTTGATCTGTTCTCTTATTCTGACATGTGTGTTCGTGTCAGTGTAAGTGTGTTAGACGCGTTTATTTTCGAGTTTATACGATTAAAGTCTTATAAAATGCCACACATTTATTCAAATTTAGAATGAAAACGAATGAAAATCGTAATAGAACATATGGGTTTTTTAAATTATTTATACATGTACAGTGTGTCCAGTTTTCGATGCTTTTGCGTGATATCTCAGTTATCTTTAGAGATAGAACCTTGCGGTTTTCGCGGCCCTGTGCCACTTTTTTGTGAAACTCAAGATGGCCTCATCAGATTTTCCATAGCTGTTTCCATTTATGAGATACAGGGCGATTTTGAAAATTTATACTTTTTGGACCCCCTCTATATCTACGAAGTTTCTCAGCAAAAATGTCAAATTAAAATCTCATTCCATATAAAAGTTTACGCAGAATCCAGTGGCGCACCCAACTTTTTTTTTCGGGGTATGGTTTTGGAGATACGACTCAAATTTATGATTTTTTAAATGGAACACCCTGTATTTTATAAGCTCATAAAATTCCTCATTTTTTTCTCTTCAAAATGATTTGAAATGTATGTATATAACATTTTCAAAAATGCTCTATAATCACTAAAACATTGAATTTTAATAGTGGGCTATGGATTTTTCTTATAAAAAAGTTCCAATTGAAGGAATATTCATTTCGTTTCTTCCGTAAAGAGAACAAAAAGAATACCAACACTAATTTACCTAGAAAACCCAAAAAATATGTACCTGATAGCAACAAATAAACAGTAGCAAAAGTCCAATGTAGAATAAGCACCAGATTAAATATTCACAAATACAATTGAATTTGGGAATTATTCAATAACTTATTTATTTAATTTGTTCAAATTGATGTCCATTTTCCATAACACACAATTTACACAGTTTCTCAATACGTCTTGATACAGTAAGAGGCACAACAATCTTGAAGAACTTCGTGCAACAACAGAGGCAGTTTTCCAGGAATAACATAGACATCCTTTAATGATTTTGAATGCATTAAGAAGCATTGAGAAATTGTATGAGGGAAAATGGACATCAATTTGAACAATTCTATAAATAATTTACTGATTAATTTCGAAATTCAATTGTCCTATTGAATATCAAATCAGGTGCTTATTCTAGAATATGAACTTTTCATTACTATTTATTTGTTGCTATCAGGTATCTAATTTTTGTGTTTTGTTAGTGAACTATTGTTGGGATTGTTTTTGTCCTTATCATGGAAAAATCAAATGAAATATTCCTTCAATTTGAACTTTTTTTAAATGAAAAATCCATAGCCCACTATCAAAATTCAATGTTTCAGTGATTTTGGAGCATTTTTGAAAATTTTATACTTATACATCATCTTTCATTTTGATGACAAAAAAATAAAGAATTTAATGAGCTTATAAAATACAGGGTGTTTCATTAAAAATCATAAGTTTGATTCGTATCTCCAAAACCATACCCAAAAAAAGAATTTCAGTGCGCCACTGGATTCTGCGCAAAATTCTGTATGGGATATGAGTCCAATTTGACATTTTCGCTGAGAAACTTCGTAGAATAGAAGGAGTTTCACAAAAAAGTGGTACAGGATCGCAAAAACCGCAAGGTTCTATCTCGAAAGATAACTGAGATATCACCCAAAAGCATTGAAAACTGGACACACCCCAGGTAGCACATCATATTGGCTGGAACCCGATTTCATATTGGGCCGATATAGATATATCGTACATGTGAAAAATAATATAGGTCCAATATGAGAGTATATTGGACAAACAATATTGGAATGATAATATTGGTGGAATATTGGTTCAACCTGAGCTGAATATGGATTGTCAGCTACAATATTGGAGCAATATTGGTTGTAAAATTCGTTAACAATGTGTTGAAAAACATATCTATGAATGTTATATAATATTGTTTTACGAATGTCGATACAACAACATCGTATACATATTGTTCCCGACATTTACAACCAATATTGCAATATGAACATTCTCCCCATGTCGATTCTGAAGCGGTTATGCAATATTGTATTTTCAAGTTAAACGGCATATCGGTTTGATATTGTTTTAACAATATTTGAAACATTATATTCACCCATCTTGATTGATATCATTTAATCTATATCATGCGGAAGATATCGTATACAATTTGCTTCTTACATTTATAACCAATATCGCGATTTGAATATTGTCCCCATGTTGATTCTGAAGCGGTTGTGCAATATTGTATATTTGAGTTCGACGGCATATTGGTTGAATATTGTTTCAACAATATTCGAAATATCATATTCACCAATCTTGATTAATATCATTCTATCCATATCATGCGGAAGATATCGTATACATATTGTTTCCAACAATTATAACCAATATAGCAATTTGAACATTCTCCACATATCGATTCTGAAGGGGTTTTCAATGATTCAAATATGAATATCAATAACGGCAATTCAATATGTATCTTATATCGGACATAGAAGAGAAAAACAATATTGTATTTTCAAGTTCAATTGCATATCGGGTGAATAGTTGTCTAGCCATATTCAGAAAATAATATCATCTTATATTGGCTGATATGTGATTCACTATATCATGTAAGCAATATTGTTCACATATTGTTTTGAGAATACATATCGATATCGGAATTTCGATATTTATTCCATATTACGCACTCCTAAACCGATGTCGATAGATGGCGCTATAAATGATTGGTAACGTACTCTCATTGCCGATCCGACGAGACAATTTAAATATTGGCTCTAGACGATTGTGAAGTATTATAACCTGGAGTAGGGGTTAACCGTGATCAACAAGGCGGCTTCCCTAGGGCAAGGCCCTCCCATTGCACTCCGGCTGGGCTGACCTTTGTGATTATTCCTGATGCGAATAACTCGCAAATATTGGTATGAAAATATTCCACCAATATTTTGAAGACAACATAGCTACATAATGATTTTCAATAATGTACCAATATTCCCAACCAATATTGCACCAATATAACTTCACGAATATACCAGCAATATTGGTATGAGAATATTCAACCAATATTCTTGAGACAACATACCTTCATGATGATTCCCAATGATTCACCGATATTTCCATATATTACACCAATATTGCCGAATGTTCACCATTAATTTCTCGCCAATATTGATATTACATTTTGTGTCCGATATTACTCTACGAATATTCAACCAATATTAATATGACAATATTCTACCCACATTTGGAAACTGATATTGTACCAATATCGCCGAATGTTCACATATATATATATATATTATATATATATGTGATATATTTTCGTAATATTGCACCGATATTGTCCCAATATATGTGTGCTACTTGGGACTGTACAATATACACCTAGAGTTTGGTGCGTTCCTTCCGACTCACCTAGCATATTCT